ATCGGGCGGAAGGCGCCGCGAGTGACGAGGCGATGATCCAGCGTGAGGTGGATGCGAGCGACTGGATGACGAGCAGCGATGCGACGCCCTCGAGCAGGCTGAAGAAGGGGCTCGAGATGCGCAGCAGCGTGTGCCACCAGCGGGGCACGCGGCGTGCGAGCCAGAAGAAGAAGGCTACCGAGGCGGATACGAGGTGGTCTAGCCAGGCTACACCGGTGAGCGAGTGGAGGTCGTCCAGCGCATCTGGGTCGAGGTGGGCGGTGCGGCTGGAGCTGCGGGTGAAGAGGCTGCTGATGGCCTCGCTCGCGGTCTTGTCGAGGCTGTCGGGTCTGCGCGGCGGGAAGATGGTGGCAGAGGGCGGCGAGTAGACGTTGAAGCAGACGAGAAGGCAGGCGGGGACGACGACGAACTGAAAGACGGCGAGCGTCTGGCCGATCCACGCTAGCCTCGTGCCATTGGTGAGGAGGCGCACGGTGGAGAGGAAGAGGTAGTAGGAAGCGAGCGAGGCCGAGAGCGCGAGGAAGGCATCCTGGCCGGCGATGTCGAGCGCGAGAGGCAGGTAGAAGAGCACCTGAATGAACGTGGCCACACGGCCAAAGTTGACGGCGAGGGTGCCGAGGTACGACATGGCGGCGTTACGAACGTGCGTAAAAGTGCGATTGTTCAAGGCTGAAGGCTGGACATTGTCGTTGGCTGGCTGGGTGGGGCGTGCTGGGTGTGGTGGATTGTCAAAGCAAGGCGGTGCGGGTGAATTCGAATTCGAGCGGTGCGGTTGAGGGTATCGAGCGCGCAGACTCCGCGGGGTATGACGAGTGGGTATGCGGCGGAGGCAGAAGGATGGTGGTGATGCGGAAAGGAGCGGTGGATGGTGTCCTGGTTGCGATAACGGTTGGAGGTTGGAAGCCGAGCGAGAGAGAGGAGCACAGAGCGAGAAAGCACAGACAGCAGCCGCCGCCGCCGCCGCTGCCGCTGCCGCTGCCGCTCTGCCATTTCCGCATTTGCACGCGCCGCGCCGCGATCGCCGCGATCGGGCGGATCCAGATCGATGTACGCTCTAACAAACCGCATCTCAAAAAATCCAGCTTGGAAGCGGCCTTTTCGCGAAATTTTTCGGATGCGGGCAGCAGCCAAATAATAGCCGAGAGCTTCTCTTGCATTTTCTGCCACTGTCCGAGCTCAGAGCTCCAAGCCCAGGGTCGTGCGAGTCGGCATTGGCGCTGCTTGCACCCTGACGACGACGACGACGACGACGAGGACGGCCGACGAAGACAACATGTCAAATACAGCGGCGACACCACCACAAGCTGCCAACGGCTCCGTGTCGTCGGCACAGGCGGCGGTGTTCGTGCAGTCGCAGCCGCTTCCGGCAGACACGCCCACGGTAGTGGGGCCGGACTTTGAGACGCAAGACCCCAATGATCTGGCGGCGCTGCTGGAGAGCATGTCCAAGGTTGGATTCCAAGCTACGGGCGTGTCCAAGGCGATCGAGATCGTCGACGAGATGCGAAGGTGGCGGCTGTCGGACGATGCGGCGTACCAGGCGTCGAGCGAGGCGGACAAGCCCAGCCTGGCCGAGGCGCAGCAGACGCAGTGTCGCATCTTTCTCGGCTTCACCTCGAATCTGGTCTCGTCGGGGCTGCGCGAGGTGATCAAGTTCCTGGTCAAGAATCGCATGGTGTCTGCGCTCGTCACGACGGCGGGCGGGATCGAGGAGGATCTGATCAAGTGTCTCGGCCCCACGTATCTGGGCGAGTTCAGCCTGGACGGCGCGACGCTGCGCAAGCAGGGGCTCAACCGCATCGGCAATCTGCTCGTGCCGAACGACAACTACTGCAAGTTTGAGGACTGGGTGATGCCCATCCTGGATGCCATGCGTGCGGAGCAGGGCGACGATGTGGCCAACGCCTGGTCGCCCAGCCGCGTCATCGAGCGTCTGGGCCGCGAGATCGACGACGAGAGCAGCATCCTCTACTGGGCGGCCAAGAACGACATCCCCGTCTTTTGCCCGGCGCTCACGGACGGCAGCCTGGGCGACATGATCTACTTTCACTCGTACAAGAATCCGGGCCTGACGATCGACCTGGTCAAGGACATCCGTCGGCTCAACGACCTGTCGGTCAAGGCGCCCAAGGCGGGCATGATCATCCTGGGCGGCGGCGTATGCAAGCACCAGATCGCCAACGCCATGCTCTTCCGCAACGGCGCCGACTTTAGCGTGTACATCAACACGGGGCAGGAGTTTGACGGCTCCGACTCGGGCGCGCGTCCCGACGAGGCCGTGAGCTGGGGCAAGATCAAGTCGGCGGCCAACGGCGGCAAAAACGTCAAGGTGTACTGCGACGCCACCATCATCTTCCCCATGATCGTCGCCGCCACGTTTGGACGCGCGCATTGGGCTGCCAAGCGTGCGCTCAATGCATAGATCTTCGCCATCGCCATCTCCATCCCTGTACTTGTACCGCTGCAGCAAAAAGAGTGAACCCCGAGAGAAGAAGCACTGCCTGGTTGGATCGGTGATGGAGAGGCGCTTCGGATCGCCGATGCCGAGCATGTCCACAGCATGTGGGCTTTTGGCGCGCTTCTCTGTGGCTGAATAACTGCAGCGGAGCTGCCGGCGCGCCGAGTCCGAAATGAAGGCGGAGGAGGCAGAGAGTGACAGTCAGGAGGTGGGCGAGGTCGGCGGGTGTTTTCTTTTGGTTTTCTTTTCGGCGCGCGCGTGTTGTGTTGGTCTCGGACGGCACGGAAGGCCAAGCGCCAGCAGAGCAGAGCATACAAGCAAGCATGGCGGCAGCATGGCGGGCATGGCGGGCAGTGCATGGCGGTCAATGGCAGCCAATGCACGATCAAAAGGCTCGCCGGCCGACATGCAGCTAAAAAGAGGTTTTCCAGTCTGCGCCACGGATCGCTCGTGCAGCAGTCTGCATGACACTGCCCTTCTTCCTCACCCATTCGCACTTGTCTGCGCTCACATTCCGAAAGCATGCCCGCTGCTGCTCGGGGCTCAAGGGCGCCTCCTGTCGCTCGGCCCGTTTGCGACGTTGGGCTCGAGCTGCACGCTTGGAAGCGGAGGCTACTTTGACTTGCCCTCGCTCGTTGGGAGTTGCCCTCCCCGCCTCCATCTCCTCTTTCCCTCGCAGTAGTCATGGTCAAGTTCTCTGCTCTTCAGGCGGTGGCTACGCTCGCCGTGGCTGGCACCGCCATGGCTGCCGACGTTCACGGCATGAGCCGCACCAACCAGCGTTTGCACGCGCGTCAGAGCTCCGGCTCCATCATGGCGTCCGACTACCAGAACGGCGACCCTGCTCCCGGTGCGCGCTCGGGCGATGCGGCGGGACAGACCGTCGTCATCGACTCGGACGGCGGCCACGACGACAACTCGCAGCGCGCGGGCTGCCCCACCATCTTTATCGGCTCGGCCGCCGTGGGAGGCTCGTTCAGCTCCGGCTGGAGCGACATGCCGCAGGTGCTCGGCTTCGACACGATGCGCGACCTCACGCTCGCCAACAACGTCGTGCAGCCGTACATCATCGAGCGCGGCAAGACCGCCAGCCAGATCAAGCGCGTCGTCATCACCCAGCCCGGCCTGCCGCGCGACTACTGGAAGTACGCCAACCTGGTGCGCAACTCGCTGCTGTGCGCCTCGGTCAACTCGACGCTCGGCATCAACCGCGACGAGATCCTCATCGCCGCACCCACCTGGTTCAGCACCAACGACGCCACCGCCGGCTCGGCACAGTCCAACGACCTCGTCTTCAACGGCGGCGGCTGGGCCACCGGCGTCGACTCGGCCGGCCCTAACGGCGCCGCCATCTCGTCGTTCGAGGCGCTCGACGCGCTCGTCTCCAAATTTTTCGACAAGACCACCTACCCCAACCTCCAGCAGGTCGTCATTGCGGGCCACTCGCTCGGCGGCTCGTTCACGCAGCACTACGCCATGCTGCGCAAGCAGAACCAGGCGCAGGACGCCATGATGAGCTACTTTGTCGGCAATCCGGGCGCCTACGTATGGCCCACCTCGCAGCGTCCCGTCCAGAACCCGGGCGGCAACTGTGCCAGCACCGCCGACGAGTGGGGCTACGGCCTGCAGGACCTGCCCTCGTACGGCCAGGGGCAGGGTAGCGCCAGCAGCATTGCATCGCGCTACTACGGGCGCACCGTCACCTACGGGCTCGGTCTGCAGGACAATGAGGGCGGAGACAGCCACTGCGAGGCGGCCTACCAGGGCACATCGCACCTCACGCGTGGACAGAACTTCCAGCGCGCCCTCGAGGCTGCTAATGGTGGCAACGTGCCCGCCAGCCACACGTTCAACTACGTCGCAGGCGTCGCGCACGAAGACTACCTCATCTTTAGCGATCCCGTCAGCCAGTACCACCTCTTCGCCGCCGGCACCAACTTTGCTGCCACCGCTTCCGCCACTTCGTCCGCCGCGACCGCCTCGGCTACGGGCAAGAAGGGCTCGTCCTCCTCGGCTCAGTCCGGTGCGTCGGGTACGGCGGCTGCACCTGCCTCGTCCGGCTCCTCGGCAGGCTCGGCGTCCGGCAACTCCAGCGGCGCAGGTGCGCTCGCTTTTGCTTCGCCCGCAGCCGTGCTCTCGGCCATGCTTGCATCCTCCGCTGCCTTCCTCGCCCTCGTTCTCTAGATTTAGGGCTCGATGGACACTAGCTCACACTTCCCCCTTGACGATCATCAGAAAGATGCCTCGATGCAAACGGCGTGCATGCGTGGTGGAATGAAGCGCCATGCTCAGGCTCAGACAGCTGCGTAAGGTTGAGGTTGAGCGGCCACATGGCAGAGTGCGGATTGGCTGCAACGGGCAAGCCGAATTTTTTGCGGCTTCAGCTATGTTAGATTCGAATGTTGGGATCGCGAGGCGGTGTCTGCCAGGCAGACCAACACTGCTTGTTGGACGACGTGGAGGGGCGACGCCCTGACACACGACCATCACCTCTGCCTTACACCCCAGCCGAACGCACAGGGCCACCGTGGGGACAATGAGTGATCCGGCGCCGCCGTCTGCTCCGGGGCACGAGCCCGAGCTGTGGTCTTTCTCGGCGTGGTTCCCGCCGCCGTACCGCGTGCTGCTGCTCGCCTCGATCGGGCTGCTGCTGTTCGCGGCGAACGTGCACATCCTGCACACCAAGGGCATCGACCTCTTTGCGCTCTTCCGCGCCGACGAGCAGGAGAAACGCCGACAGACGGGATCGAATAGCTTTCACCGCAGCACCACGGGTGCAGCCACACAGTATGGGTCGTATCACAATACCAACCGCACTCCGCACGAGGCGAACGGTGCGATCTTGCCGACTACACAGAGCACGACGGCGACAGGGCAGGGTGGGATTACTACACGACCGCTGGTGGTGTTTGGAGCGGCGCAGTTGGCGTGGGCGCTGGCGGGGTGGGCGTCGTACCGGTTCTATGTCGACAGTCTGGCGGGCGATCCCAAGGGCAGACATGCACAGGCACTGCAGGGATTCGCAGTAGCCGGTGCGGCAGCAACCCTGCTCTGGCCGGGCAATCTCTTCTTCAAGCCGATGCGCAAGGCGTTCGGCCGCGCCCTGCTGCTCATCCTCACACCGAGCCTATCCCAGCCGATCCCGTTCAGCCACGTCGTGCTCGCCGACATCCTGACGTCGTTCGCCAAAGTGCTCGGCGACGTATGGCTCACCGCGTGCTTTCTGGTTCCGCGCAAGGAGCACCACACGTGGTGGAACGGCAAGGGCTCGATCGCCGTACCGCTGCTCATCTCACTCCCCTATGCAGTGCGTCTACGACAGTGTCTATCGGAATACGCCACTGCGCCGTCAAACACAGGGGGCAAGAACAAACGGCCGCTGTGGAATGCGGCCAAGTACGCCTCGGCGTTTCCCGTGATCTGGCTCAGCGCATGGTACGAAGCCGACACGCACGCGGCGAGTCACGAGGCGGACTGGATCTCGCGCTACACGCTCTGGCTGCTCGCCGTCGGCGTCAACTCGATCTTTAGCTTCTGGTGGGACGTGAGCAACGACTGGGGATTGTCGCTGCTGCTGCCCGCCAACATGGGCTCGCTCGCGAGTGTGGCCAACAACGCGACGAACCTGCATCGACGCGGGGTATCCTATGCCCCGCTTCCCACCGACGCGGTACCGATGGCAAGCATGCGCGCGGACGAAAAACGCACGGGGCTGGAGGTGCCGAGCATCGCTGTGGCCGGTCCGTCTGGAAGTGGCGCGGCGGTGGGGTCGCATGGGAGGTCGCTGTCGACGGTCGAGCGCATGCTGAGACCAACGCCGTCGCTCATGTTTGCGGCGTGGATGTACCAGCTGGCGATCGTGCTCGATCTGGGGCTCAGGTTTCTGTGGTCGCTCAAGCTCAGCTCGCACCTGCACCACCTCGTCGAGTGGCAGGGCGGCGTGTTTTCGTTTGAGCTGCTCGAGATCGTGCGGCGCTCGGTGTGGGTGCTCTTTCGCGTCGAGTGGGAGGTGGTGCGTCGCAGAGAAAGCGCCAGACCCCATGTAGCGCTCGATTAGACCGCTTCTTTTCCAGCAGAACAATTGCACACGCCCTGTTTTACGAATCTAGTTGCATTGGCGATCATTCCTGCTTGTCGAGGAACGCGGCGCCTTGGGTGCGCAGCTTGCGCTCGAGCTGTTCGAGCCACTTTTGGAGGAGCGGTGCGGTGTGTGGTGCGCTGTCGGGCGCAAAGCTGCTGAGATACGCAAACGCGTTGCGCGCGATCTTGGGTGCCACATCCAATGCCTCGCCCTGCTTTGCGCTTGTTGCCGCTGCGGCCGCGGGAAGCGTAGCGATCTGTTCGTCCACCAGCGCATCCGGCTCGATGCTGATCCCCAGCGTAGCCGTTGTCGCTCCTGCTTGCGATGGAGGCGGGTTCACCTTGAAGATCGCGCTGGGCTTGGTGTTGCGTATGCAACCGAGCAGCTTCCACTCGTGCACACCCGAGGACGAGGGCCAGAGGAGGTGGACGGTGGCCGAGAAGCCCGGTGGGAAGGGCTGGACGCCCGTCATGAAGACGACGACGTGTTTGATGGTGTGCGCATCGTCGAGCGTGAATACGCAGTGCGTATCGTCCACCTGCTGTGGTGCGCCGAGTGGCAGTCGCCCGGGAAGCACCACCGAAAACATGGCGAGCAATGATGCGTCAAGGTGAAGAAGCACCAGTCACAGTGTCGCTCTCGAAGGCAAAGTGCGGGAATCGAGTGGAGGCGCTCCCACTCTCGGCGCATTGGAGCTGAATCGGGCACAGGTGTCGAGATCGGGGCTGATGGGCGAGAAAGGCCGAATTCCGAGCGCAAAGAGTTTTCCTCGCGCCTGGAAATTTTGCCAAGCCGGTAAGGTGGAAGCGGGGAAGGGTTTGAGAGGCACCACCACCATCTCTGGACGATCTCGACATGGCCAATCCACGACAGCGCAGAAAGGCGCGCTCGGGCACGTCGCTCAAGCCCTCGCTCAACGCAAAGCAGCGCATGCGCAAGAAGCTCCAGCGTGCACCCACCGTTCACGGCGCCGACATCCTCAAGGACTCGTACGATCCCACGCTCACGCTCAAGCAGAACTACGCGCGCCTCGGCCTCATCCCCGCTCTCGGCGTTCGACCCAACACGGGCGGCACCGAGAAACCCGCTGCGGCTGCTGCTGCCGGTTCGAGCGGGGAGTCGGACAAGCCGCGCAAGGGGATGGCACGCGTGATTCGCGATGACGACGGCAATATTGTGGATATCGTCGAAGCACCGGCGGACCAGGAGACAACACCGTGGGGTAAGCCCCTCGACAACAGCGTTGAGGAGCGAACCGATGTGCACACGTTCATTCCGGCCGCGAGCAAGACTACCACCTCGGTGGTGGACGAGCTGCAGACAAGGGCGGATAACGCCGAACCGGTGCAGCGACACACGAGCACGCTCGAGACCGACTGGCTCGCCCAGCTCGTCGCCAAGCACAGCGACAACTATACCGCCATGGCTCGCGACCGCACGCTCAATCCCTGGCAAAAGACACCCGGCGAAATCCGTCGGGCCCTCAACAAGGCGCGTCTCACCCAGTAACCCGCGCCCCACGCACACACTTGTACTTGTACCGTTCCAGCCAAACCCACTTGCATTGCCCCTTTAGATGCGCGTCCAGTCGGCGCTTTTCCCGCCCGTCTTGCGCACCACACGCACATCGCCAATGCGCATCGTCTTGCCCGCCACCGCCTTGACCATGTCCCACACGGTGAGACATGCGGCGGTGCACCCCGTGAGCGCCTCCATCTCGACACCCGTGGCGCCGGCGGTCTTGGCGGTACACTCGATGTCCACATAGCTCTCCGAACCGGGCTGGTCGACCAGCGCCAGTGCCACATCGACGTGCGTGAGCGACAAGGGGTGGCAGAGCGGGATGAGGTCCGCGGTGCGTTTGGCTGCCATGATCCCCGCCAGCTGCGCAGTGTGCAGCACGGGACCTTTGCCAGATACGCCACCGCGTGATTCGGCCGAGCGCACGAGCTGCGCAGCCTCGAACGGCATATACACCCGCCCGACCGCCGTAGCGCTGCGTGAAGTGGTAGGCTTGCAAGATACATCCACCATCGACGCCGCGCCCGTTGCGGCATCGATGTGCGACAGATGATCGGCCTCAAGCGTAGGCGACTGGGCATTCACAGCCGCCGCGCCAGCCTGCGCGAACAACGCCTCTTGCTCGCTCAGAAGCGCTTGCTGCCCCAGCAGCGTGTCGTTGGCCGCAAACGCAGCCGCAGCACTTGCACCCTCGTGCATCCTGGGCGGGGCGTGTGCTTCGACGTACGGCTCGGCACTGCGCTGCATGAGGTTGTGCTGTGCAGCCAGGTCGAGAGGCACGGCAAACTCGGCGGACGACTCCGGGTGGTCCGCAAACGCGTCCAGCGACGACCACGGCGAGTCGTCGACACTGCCGCCGTGCATGTACTCGGTCCACCGGCCCGTCGGCGCAGCTGCTCCCGCGCTCACCTCCGGCATAGACGGTGGTGCGTCCGAAAACCGCACCCCGGACAGAGGCGCTGTGGTCACTTTTCGCGGCGTGGCGGATGATACCGCCGCGGCGCCGGCGCGCGCAAAGATCTCCTCCTCCATCGCGGCGATCGGGTCGCGGGCCGGGCTGTCCGCGTCTGCAGAAGCTGCTGCGGCAGG